ACTTTTCATTTGATATCTTACATGGCGTGCTTTTTATGAAATATAATTATATGTTGGGTGAATACGGGGTTCCAGGGTACGGCTTTGAGATACAGCGTGCCAAAGGTGGAGACTGGGATGAGGAACTGGGAGGTAGGGTATCTGAGACAAGGAGCTGGGGAATTGTGTTGAGGTGCTGACGGGGTTGTAGAACGAAACTGGGATTTGGACATGCAGAGGCTGGACAAGCCAGGGGCAGAAGAGGTCAGGCATTGAGGGTACAGGGGTAGAAGGATCTGTAACCAGTAGAACACCCTCCCCATAGAACCTGGAATAAAACCCAGTATTCCTGGGCCTCAACATTCATCTGTTGTCAGCAAACAGCTGTGAAACCAACCGAAGGGAGTTAAATACTCAACTTCCACTGAATTCCAGTGAGAGTTGGGCACCTGTTTCCTTTAGGTGTCTTGAAAACTTCAGTCCTACTGTTTATGTTCCTCACCTTAATACCATACTTTCTGTCTTAGGTATGTCTACACTGCAGTTAAAGGTGTGATTGCCACATGAGTAGACATGTGTGACAGATATTAAAACCGCATACAGTATTTTTCGGGCAACATATTGTATGAAGTTTATGTATCACAGTGGGCCAGAGATTGTATGTATGGTTGTGCTCTGTTCCATGGGGGAGGGTTATTGCAACTCCTTCAGGAATCAAAAACAGTAGGGGGTGCTTGAGGTGAATCACTTAGGTTTTAAACACCTCCAGAGAATTACCACCCCCAGAGAATCTTGCATATACTGGTTCAAACTAGGTTTTCCAGAGAGCAACAGACAAAGAAAGGGCTTTGGCATAAAAAGGCTTCATTCAAATTGACTCAGGGCCTTCTTTCTGATCCAGCAAACAGACAGGACCTGCTGTCTTAAGCAGGATCACAACTCTTGCAGAAGGATTGAAAAGACTTTGGCCTATTAGGGCCCCATAAGATTGATGGGTGACCTCTGGTAAGGTGCTTGCATGCATATAGGAACTTCTGTTTTTTTACATGTTTTCTCTATAATGCTTTTGCCTTAAGAATAAATGGGCTTATTTAGAAAGAGCTGTGTAGTAATTTGTGATTACTGGCAATAACCTCAGAGAGAAAGCAAAGCACAGGCCTGCCCTTTTAGCAGACTGGCTTGCTGGGGATATCACAGTGTAAGGCTGGGAGATGTGCAGCCTTAAAACCTACTCAGAAAGGAGACAGACCTGCGTCTCTGCCCAAGAAAGGTGACATCTGGGAACCAGAAATCTTATGTGGGTGCCCTTGAGTGACCATGTAGAGGGAAGACTTGTGCAGTTACCCTGAAACTGTGACAATATAAATATATATATTAGTCTTGCTGGTAATACTGAATCTCAGCTGAACTCATCAATGTGGTATAATGGGGTATCCAAACCCCACACTGGGCTGAAAGAGGTTAAAGGACAGTACTGAGCCCTGGTAGCCCCACCCCTCCATCCCTGCAGACCATGCTCCAACTGGAGAAGAGGTTGAAAAGGGAGCAATCCCATTTTGAAGGGGGAGGTTGAGGAACCTGACAGACTTATCCTGAAGGCTCCTGAGAAGGGTGCTGGAGAAGCCTCCCTGAAGGAATATGACTGTATGCTGAGTCCATTTGGGGTAATGGTTTGGTTACCTTTTCCTTTTCTTTTCACTGTATCTGGGACTGACCACTGAGAGAGGAAAGCAGCAGCAAGAAGTGACCAAGGGGAGGTAACTCAGAGGGCACCTTTGGGGGCCAGGCACTGTTGACACTCTTAGGGCCCTGGGTCGGAGCCTAGTGGAGTGGGTGGGCTCAGGCTCCCCTACCACTGCCCTTACTACAGGAGGGACTTGAATCACCTATACTGCTCACTGTACCTCTGAGTAGTGGTGAGCCAGCACTGTGAGACTGACTCTCTGGGAGAGGGTAGTAGGTGAGCTTACCACTAGGCAATCTTAACCCACAAGGACCCTATTACAGGGGGTGTTATGGGGCCCTGAAAGAAGGTAGATGTTTAGATATAAGAGAGCAGTAAAACCACAGCAATATGGTAAGTGACTGACTGTATGTACAGAATTCAGTTCTTACAGAGGAAAGATAGTGAGTGGGCTGTGACTGAAAAAGCAAGAGACCTTCTATCTTCTATGAAGAAACTGACAGCAAAGACAGCTGATAGAATCTAGCAAATTAATATCTCCTGGAATTATATTATATATGGAATCATATTATATATATGGAATTATATATAATATAAATAAAATCAACAAGTAGACTCCTCCACATCAAGGGCCTAGTCAAGCACTCCTTTCTTACTCAAAACTCCCACTGACTCTATTTGGAGTTCAGGGAGCACAAGGAATGTAGGATCAGGCCCCTAGCTTCTTAGCGCCTAACAGAAGAGAACATTGCTCTTCCCGTACATTGCTTTCATAGCATTCTAACATTGCTCTTCCTGTACATTGCCCCTAAATTCACATACCCTCACAATCACTTTCTCAACTTGAATAGTTAAATCAGGTCAGGGGTCTGGTGAGAGTGAGAGGTATAATTAAATTCTTGCAGAGTCCAGATGTATTCTGGGAAGTTGTTCGGTACAGGTGCAGAGAATGTGTTTACTGATGGTGAGAGGAAAAAAATAGGAGCGGTGGGAAAGTCACCCACGTCTGCACCCAACCTTGTGAAGGGCTGTCCTGTGCCATTTGGGCGGCCATGACCTAACCTTTTACCTGTGTAGTTATAGTTCAAACCAAAGACTTAAAATAAATTAATTGGCTACAGTTCTAGCTCAGGGATACTGGGAATATGAAGACTAAGGGCCAGATTGATCTGTTAATCTTTATAAATTCAGAACAAGCTCATTGACTTCAAGCATAAATGAGATCAGAATTTGGCCCTCGGAAATGCAAAGGGAGAAACCCACCTTAAAGGATAAATAAAGCTCTGTGGTCCTGGTCCTGCTGCAGTGAAGTCAGTGGGAATGTTAACACTGATGTTAATGGGAGGAGAAACAGCCACTAAGTGCATTGAGCTGTAACAGACGGAGAAATCTGCAGATGCCTGCCTACTCTGATAATTATTCAAGGAATCAGGTAGAAGAAGAGTAGGTAATTTGGGAATTACTATACTCAAGAGGAAAATATTTTTTTCCGCTAATCTATTTTGCCTCTTTTCACAATGCCTGTTTTAGTAACGTAAGCAAGGGGCTGTATAAATGCATATTCTTACTTCTTATGACTGTGGAGCGTATGTTCCACTTTGATTCTGTGCATTTTGACATGTGGCAAAGGATTATCTGTATTGTTTTTTCCCCAGTATGCGTTAAACTACTTTTAATCCATATTTTCAACTGAAAACTCATCTCCGTGCTTAGGAAGTGCATCCTCACAGCAGAATACTTTGAGTTGGGGAAAGCATAGTATTTCCTGACTGGCAGTTATGCACATGCCAGAAAATCTGAAACCCAATGGGAAATGCAGGAAAGGATTTCTCCACTTTGAGTTCCAGTCCTCACGCTCAAACCCATCCAGAAATACTCCTCAGGCACTGTGACCTGAATCCTGGAGGATGTTAGGTGCTAAGGCTCTTTAGGAAATCCCACTCAGTGCCTACCTGCAACTTTCAACACCTACATACCCTCAAAAACCATGCCCATAGTGGCCGCTCTTGTGCCAACACCAACGAGGGCCTGTGGAATAGAGTTTTCAAGGAAAGTGGTGGGAGCCCCATCTCTTGAGATGAGAGCCAGGAGGAAAATATTCAGCAGATAATTTTTGAAAAATAATATATTTGCATATTTGTATTCAGTAAATTACCTGAGGATAATTTCTTTCCATTTTTCCTGGATCCACAGATTTTAAGGACAGAAGGAAAGGACCATCTAGTCCAGTGGTTTTCAACCTGTGATTCGTGGATCCCTAGGGATCTGCAGACTATGTCTAGGGATCCGGGTCATTACCATAAAACAGTGGTATTCAACCCGTGGTCAGCAGACCCCTGAGGGGCCCCAGACTATGTCTAAGATTTTCAAAGGGGCCACATATCCATTCAAAATTTTTTAGGGGTCTGCACATGAAAAAAGGTTGAAAACCACTTATCTAGTCTGATTTATATAATACATTTGCCGAGCTTTACTTGACACAAGATTAGACTAGATAAAGCACTAGACATTGCATTAGAGGCCAATTCTGCCTTGAGTACGGGATGGGCTTTCTATCATTGTAACTCCATTGACACAGAAGACTTGGGTGCAGTGTTCTTCTGACAGTCTACCTTTGTCATTATTAACACCTGAATGGAAACCTCTCTGTAATTTCTCTCTGTGAATCCTGTTTATTTGTATGTACTCTTTTGTGAAGGAAATGCATGACATGCAATGCTTAATGGAAAGCATGACTCTTGTGTACTGACATGTCCTTTGCAGTTTAGCTTTGGTGTCTGGATAATGAGGAAATCATGTGAAATGATTCATACTGAAGCCGTAAACTGGAAGGAATTTGAAATGAAATCAATACAAGAGCAATTTTGAGGAATAGCAAACTGATAATAGAAGCAAGCTGAAGGAGCAGAATTATTTATTTCTGTTCCAAATTAACTTTTATTATTACATTGAGTTCATATGAGAATAAAATAATAATAATAAAGTGTTTTTCTGTAGCACCTTTCAGTTAAGGATTTCAAAGTCTTTTACAACATCAAATAATTACACCATCCATTCCATTCCCCTTGGAGTGCAGGATCCCTACAATAAAAGTTGCCCACCTATACAAGGTACAAACTTGAGAGTAACATTTAGGTATCCTGAATTTTTTCTAAACTAGAGAAAAATTATAGGAGTTCAGCTGTGTCTTCAGTGCTTGTATTTGCAAATGTAATACAGAAGCCTGGAGAATTTCCATGGATGAATATTATTATTAGCTGGCCAATGCACTGATAGGGATCAGGACAGAGCCATGGGAAGTCAGAGCTGCTTTCTGTATTTAGGTTCAGTCCCTCGTTAAAGTTCCCCCTTCTGGGGAGAATGAGAAAAAGTGCACCTCTCCCAAATGCCTCCCAGTTATGTAAAACAAAACATGTCGCTCTCAATTCTGACCAACACCCTGTGCAATTCTACGGGGGAGCAATGGGGTAAGTCAGCAGAAGCTGGATCATGTTCTTTTAGATATTGCTATGCAGTTTAGCCACAAAGGGATCATTAGTCAAACAGTGTGATTGCTAACTTTTATTTTCCCTTACTGTTGGACTCCATATCATGGACTGAGTATCTGTGAATTACCAACAGGAAATCAATTTGAATCCTATGGAAATAGTAATTCTGGTATGAAAGTAAACTTGTGCTCATTGAAGCTGAGGATCTTAACTTTATATGAATCATTATGAATTGCTAATTAAGCTACAATGAGCTTCCATACTTTTGTATTAGTGTTTTCTACAAGGTCTTCAGGTCTTATTGTTTCCATAATGTTACAAGTTCTGAATAGATTTTGTAAGCTTCAAGTCACTGTATGCAATTGGAATTCCTTGTATGGTATTCATTCAGTGCTTTGTTTTTACATATTGGATCTGCTTTATAAATTATTATATTGATCCCTTGAAAATTATTAACAATTAAACTAGTTTGAGTGTGAGTGCTTGGAAGATGTGGTAGTTCACTGTTCTCAGAGGGTTGACGGTGAGGTCCTAACACTGGTTACAGAAGTATAGCAATTCTTTCTGATTGTTCTGTTTTGCATTAAGGGATTTACCAGTGTTTCCTCTGGAATGTGGAAATTCACTCATTATGTAAAGCTGCTACTAATGCAAGCTGGGCTAATGTAATCTTTGACCTTGAAATCCCACTTTGAAAACTTTTTTATTTTGTGCAACAGTATGATTACCTAATATCCTGTGCTATTATTGTCTAGTGGTTAGAACAGAGGAATGGAATCATTTCTGCTTTTCGTTGCCAGATTTGCAAATGACACTCTGCAACCTTGGACATTTTATTTATTTAACCTCTTTGCACCTCAGTTTATAGCCTCCTATAGAATGGATATAAAATTACCTGCCTCTCAAGCCTGGTCTACACTATGAGGTTAGGTGGAATTTAGCCACATTAGGTCGATTTTTATAATGAATGCGTCTACACAACCAACCCCCTTCCACCGACCTAAAGGCCTCTTAAAATTGACTGCTGTACTCCTCCCTGACGAGGGGAGTAGTGCTAAAATCGAACTTCCTGGGTTGAATTTGGGGTAGTGTAGACACTGTGCTGTGCAATTTGATGGTATTGGCCTCTGGGCACCATCCCAGAGTGCTCCAGTGTGACCGCTCTGAACAGCACTTTCAACTCCGATGCATTAGGCAGGTACACAGGAAAAGCACCGGGAACTTTTGAATTTCATTTCCTGTTTGGTCAGCATGGCGAGCTCAGCAGAACAGGTGATCATGCAGTCCCCCCAGAATTGCAAACGAGCCCCAGCATGGAGCGAACGGGAGACTCTGGATCTGATTGCTGTGTGGGGAGAAGAATCTGTGCAGGCAGAACTCTGATCCAGCAGAAGAAATGCTGATATAGATGCCAAAATCGCACAAGGCATTGTGAAGAGAGGCTACACCAGGAATGCACAGCAGTACTGCATGAAAATTAAGGAGCTCAGGCAAGCCTACCAAAAGACAAAGGAGGCAAATGGTCGCTCCGGGTCAGAGCCCCAGACATGCCGCTTCTATGATCAGCTGCATGCCAGTCTAGGGGGGGACCCTACCAGTACCCCAATACTCTCCGTGGACACCTGCAAGGTGGCAGCCTCACGCAACACAGATGAGGATTTTTTGGAGGAGGAGGAGGAGAATGCGCAGCAGGCAAATGGAAAATCCTTTCTCCCTGGCAGCCAGGACCTCTTCATAGAATCAGAGAATATCAGGGTTGGAAGGGACCTCAGGAGATCATCTAGTCCAACCCCCTGCTCAAAGCAGGACCAATCCCCAACTAAATCATCGCAGCCAGGGCTTTGTCAAGCCTGACCTTAGAAACCGCTAAGGAAGGAGATTCCACCACCTCCCTAGGTAACCCATTCCAGTGCTTCACCACCCTCCTAGTGAAAAAGTTTTTCCTAATACCCAACCTAAACATCCCCCACTGCAACTTGAGACCATTGCTCCTTTTTCTGTCATCTGCCACCACTGAGAACAGTCTAGATCCATCCTCTATGGAACCCCCTTTCAGGTAGTTGAAAGCAGCTATCAAATCCCCCCCTCATTCTTCTCTTCTGAAGACTAAATAATCCCAGTTCCCTCAGCCTCTCCTCATAAGTCTGTGCCCCAAATCTCCAAATCATTTTTGTTGCCCTCCGCTGGACTCTTTCCACTTGTCCACATCCTTCTTGTAGTGTGGGGCCCAAAACTGGACACAGTACTCCAGATGAGGCCTCACAAATGCCGAATAGAGGGGAATGATCACATCCCTCGATCTGCTGGCAATGCTCCTACTTATGCAGCCCAAAATGCCGTTAGCCTTCTTGGCAACAAGGGCACACTGCTGACTCATATCCAGCTTCTCGTCCACTGTAACCCCAGGTCCTTTTCTGCAGAACTGCTGCCTAGCCACTCGGTCCTTAGTCTGTAGCAGTGCATTGGATTCTTCTGTCCTAAGTGCAGGACTCTGCACTTGTCTTTGTTGAACCTCATCAGATTTCTTTTGGCCCAATCCTCTACTTTGTCTAGGTCCCTCTGTATCCTATCCCTACCCTCCAGTGTATCTCCCACTCCTCCCAGTTTACTGTCATCTGCAAACTTGCTGAGAGTGCAATCCACACCATCCTCCAGATCATAAATGAAGATATTGAACAAAACTGGCCCCAGGACCGACCCTTGGGGCACTCCGCTTGATACTGGCTGCCAACTAGACATGGAACCATTGATCAATACCCATTGAGCCCGATGATCTAGGCAGCTTTCTATCCACCTTATAGTCCATTCATCCAGCTCATACTTCTTTAACTTGCTGTCAAGAATACTGTGGGAGACCATATCAAAAGCTTTGCTAAAGTCAAGGAATAACATGTCCACTGCTTTCCCCTCATCCACAGAGCCAGTTATCTCATCCTAGAAGGCAATTAGATTAGTCAGGCATGACTTGCCCTTGGTGAATCCATGCTGACTATTCCTGATCACTTTCCTCTCCTTTAAGTGCTTCAAAATTGATTCCTTGAGGACCTGCTCCATGATTTTTCCAGGGACTGAGGTGAGGTTGACTGGCCTGTAGTTCCCCGGATCCTCCTCCTTCCCTTTTTTAAAGATGAGCACTACATTAGCCTTTTTCCAGTCATCCAGGACCTCCCCTGATTGTCATGAATTTTCAAAGATAATGGCCAATGGCTCTGCAATCACATCCGCCACCTCCTTTAGCACCCTCGGATGCAGTGCATCCAGCCTCATGGACTTGTGCTCATCCAGCTTTTCTAAATAGTCCTGAACCACTTCTTTCTCCACAGAGGGCTGGTCACCTCCTCCCCATACTGTGTTGCCCAGTGCACTAGTCTGGGAGCTGACCTTGTTTGTGAAGACAGAGGCAAAAAAAACATTGAGTACATTAGCTTTTTCCACATCCTCTGTCACTAGGTTGCCTTCCCATTCAGTAAGGGGTCCACACTTTCCTTGACCTTTTTCTTGTTGCTAACATACCTGTGGAAACCCTTCTTGTTACTCCTAACATCCCTTGCTAGCTGCAACTCCAGGTGTGATTTGGCCTTCCTGATTTCACTCCTGCATGCATGAGCAATATTTTTATACTCGTCCCTGGTCATTTGTCCAAGCTTCCACTTCTTGTAAGCTTCTTCTTTTGTGTTTAAGATCAGCAAGGATTTCACTGTTAAGCCAAGCTGGTCACCCGCCAAATTTACTATTCTTTCTTCACATCGGAATGGTTTGTTCCTACAACCTCAGTAAGGATTCTTTAAAATACAGCCAGCTCTCCTTGACTCCTTTCCCTCTCATGTTATTCTCCCAGGGGATCCTGCCCATCAGTTCCCTGAGGGAGTTAAAGTCTGCTTTTCTGAAATCCAGGGTCCGTATTTTGCTGCTCTCCTTTCTTCCTTGTGTCAGGATCCTGAACTTGACCATCTCATGGTCACAGGTTCCCATCCACTTTTTCTTCCCCTACTAATTCCTCCCTGTTTGTTAGCAGCAGGTCAAGAAGAGCTCTGCCCCTAGCTGGTTCCTCCAGCACCTGCGCCTCACCCTGGAGCCAATACCCTCCCAGGGCCTATTGTTCCCGGATCTTGATGGCGGAGAAGGCACCTCTGGTGAGTGCACATTGTAACGACACTACAGGAGTGAAAAGCAATTGTGTTTAATGTTTGATTTGCCCTAAATAATTGGGATGCATTCGCATCCAGTACAGCTAATGGAAAAGTCTGTTAATGTGTCTGGGGATGGAGTGGGAATCCTCCAGGGACATCTCCATGAAGTTCTCCTGGAGGTACTCTGAAAGCTTTTGCAGAAGGTTTCTGGGGAGGGCTGCCTTATTTCGTCCTCCACAGTAGGACACTTTACCACACCAAGCCAGTAGTAAGTAGTTTGGAATCATTGCAGCACAAAGCATGGTAGTGACTGGTCCTGGGTTTTGGTCTCATTCATGCAACATTCAGTCTCTATCTTTCTGTGTCTACCTCAAGAGAGTGATATCATTCATGGTCACCTGGTTGAAATGGGAAGTTTTGTAAAGGAACAGTAATCCCCTCTCTTTGGTGATCCCCGACACATTAGACCCCCGGGCATGCTGGGCTGTTTGCACTTGGCTAAAAGGGATCATCCCGGAGAATAGTCACATGGGGGGAGGGGTGATGCACATCCACCCCAAAACCGCAGCCCCTCCTTTTAAACGGCAACCACAGCCCCTCCTTTTAAATGGCAAACACAACTGGCATTGGTTGCTACGGGAAAGGAGGGTGCTGCAGTTTGAAACCATTCCCACATGTTATGAATGTGGAAGAAGCCAACCCCACGTAACTTTTGGCTTACCAGGGCTGCCTGGAAACCGAATTCCATTGCCCAGCCGCGTGTGATGTGTCACCATACCGGCAGGTGCGCAATATAAAAGGCAAAATGCGACCTTGTACCTAAAACACATGTGCTGTCTGCTGTGAATTGCTTAATTCACTGTGAAAGAGTCTCTCTTTTGTTCTCAGAAATGTATCTTCTTAAAAGTCTACTCTCTCTTTTTTCCCCCATGCAGCTTCAAATGCTTCTATGTTCCCCGCATCAACTCCGTCCCTGAGGCTATTACAGATTAGAAGGCGAAAAAAACCGCACTCGTGATGACATGTTTTCAGAGTTCATACAGTCCTCTTGCACTGATAGGGCACAGCTGAATGCATGGAGGCATTTGGTGACAGAGGACAGGAAAGCATACAATGAGTGTGATCGGAAGACGCAGGAGAAGATGCTGAGGCTAATGGGGGAGCAAACGGACATGATGAGGCATCTGGTGAATCTGCAGGAAAGGCAATTAAAGCACAGACCACTGCTGCAGCCATTGTGTAACCGCCTGCCCTCCTCACCAAGTTCCATATCCTCCTCACCCAGATGCTCAAGAACACGGTGGGGAGGCTCTGGGCACCCAGTTACTCCACTCCAGAGGATGGCCCAAGCAGCAGAAGGCTGTCATTCAAACAGCTTTGATTTGTAGTGTGGCTACAATAAGCAATGTGGCCTTGTTCTTCCCTTCTCCCCCACCCCACCCCACCCGTTATCAAACCCTTTGTACACTGGGGCTTCCTTTTCCTAGTCAGCATTGTCAGTGATCTCAAGTTTTTTTAAATAAATAAAGAATTAATGGTTCAGAACAATAGGGACTTTATTTCCTGTGCCATCTGTGGTTGAAGAGGGGAGGGGGTTTGACTTACAGGGAAGTACATTCACCAAAGGGGATGGCTTTGCATAAAGGACAAACACACACAACTGTCACATCGTAGCCTGGTCAGTCATGAAACTGTTTTTCAAAGCCTCTCTGATGCGCAGCCTCAGTGTGCTCGTCTAATTGCCCTGGTGTCTGGCTGTTCAAAATTGGCCACCAGGCAATCTGCCTCAACCTCCCACCTGCCATAAATATCTCCCCCTTACAGATATTATGAAGCACACAGCAAGCATCAATAACAATGGGATTATTGCTTTCGCTGAGGTCTAACCTACTCAGCAAACTGCGCCAGCACCCTTTTAAACGTCCAAAGGCACATTCTACCACTATTCTGCACTTGCTCAGCCTATAGTTGAATTGCTCCTTACTTCTGTCCAGGCTGCCTGTGTACGGTTTCATGAGCCATGGGAGCAAGGGGTAGGCTGGGTCTCCAAGGATAGCTATTGGCATTTCAACATCCCTAACGGTAATTTTCTGGTCTAGGAAGAAAGTCCCTTCTTGCAGTTTTAAGAACAGCTGAGAGTTCCAAAAGATGTGAGTGTCATGCACCTTTCCCAACCATCCCACGCTGATGTCGGTGAAACGGCCCTTGTGATCCATCAATGCTTGCAACACCATTGAGAAGTACCCCTTGTGCTTTATGTACTCTTTGGCAAGGTTCTCCGGTGCCAAGATAGGGATATGCATTCTGTCTATCGCCCCACCACAGTTAGGGAACCCCATTTCAGCAAAGTCATCCACTATGACCTGCACATTTCCTAGAGTCACTACCCTTCTTGGCTGAAGGGTATTGATTGCCCTGGCTATTTAGATCATAGCAGCCCTCACGGGAGATTTGCCCACTCTAAATTGATTCCCAACTGACCAGTTGCAGTCAGGTGTTGCAAGTTTCCACAGGGCTATTGCCACTCACTTCTCAACTGTCAGGGCAGGTTTCATCTTGGTATTCCTGTGCTTCAGGGTGGGGGAAAGCAACTCACAAAGTTCCATGAAAGTGGCCTTACACATGCGAAAGTTTTGCAGCCACTGGGAATCATTCCATACCCGCAACACTATGCGGTCCCACCAGTCTGTGCTTGTTTGCTGGGTCCAGAATCGGCGTTCCACTGTATCAACATGACCCAATGCCACCATGATATCTCAATTGCCACATCCTGGGCTTTCAGGAACTTCTGTGTCCATGTTGTCCTCATAATCTTCCTCGTGCTGGCGGCTGCTAGCTAGGCTCTGCACATACTGCAGGATAATGTGCAAGGTGTTTGCAATGCTAAGAAAGCAGTGTGCAGCTGAGCGGGCTCCATGTTTGGTGTGCTATGGCATCTGCACGGATAACTCAGGAAAAAAAGGCATGAAATGAATGTTTGCCATTGCTTTCAAAGAGGGAGGGAGGGAGGGAGGGGAGACTGATGATATGTACCCAAAACCACCCGCAACAATGTTTTTGCTCCATCAGGCATTGGGAGCTTAACCCAGAATTCCAATGGGCAGCAGGGACTGTGGGATAGCTACCCACAGTGCACTACTCCATGAGTCGATGCTAGCCATGGTATTGAGGACGCACTCAGCCGACCTAATGTGCTTAGTGGGGACATGAACAATCAACTGTATAAAATTGGTTACTAAAGACTGACTTCTAAAAAATCGACCTAATTTCATAGTATAGACATGCCCTCAGTGGTGTGGAGATACTTAGTAGTGCTGGAGGTGCACTTTGAAAACCTCAGGTAAAAAGTGGAGCGACTCGGCCCCAGCCTCCTCCGCTCCACTGGCTCCCAGCCGCGCCGCCGGTGAGTGCCGGGGGGGGTGGTTCCCTCCTGCCCCCCAAGTCCCAAGGCTGGAAGCCAGGAGAGCAGAGCGGAGCGGGCTGGGGCCGGGTTACTCCACTTCCCAACGCCCCGTGAGTGCGGGCTCGGGCCCGCCCTGCATTCACCGGGTGGCAGGAAGTGGAGCGACCCGGCCACAGCCTGCTCCGCTGGCTCGTGCTGGGGGGCGGTTTCCTTCCTGCCCCCCAAGCCTGCTCCTGCCCCCCACTGACCTTGGGTGCAGCCCACCCCTGTGGAGGCCTGGGGACAGTCTTCCCCCACACCCAAAGGGGGCGCTGCATAGGGCATCACAATGTCTAGGGACTGCCCTGGGGGTGGCAGCCTCCCCACCTTTAGGCCAAGAGGCCTGCGTTAGTCTGTCGTCCACCCGAGCTAGGACACCGGATGGTTTTGCTGTCTGCCCCGCCGGAGAGCTGACCCCCCTAGACTGCTGTGTTGCTCTGCCTAACTGCAGGCCAGAGCCATTAACTATTTGCTGCCCTGTCCTGATTGAGGGCCCTGGGCCTATAGACTCATTGTTGCTCTGCCTGACTGCAGGCCAGAGCCCTTAATTGTTGGCTGCCCCGCCCTGGTCGAAGGCCGGGGCTCACAGACCCAATTGCTGCCTGACCTACACTGCAGGCTTGGGCCTACTAGTTGTCGGCTATTTCCCCCCTGAACTGAGTCGCTCCAGAGGCATTTTAGCGAGGGGGCATGGTCTCCTCTCTGACGGATGGGGAGAGAGCCGTGACCGCCTTTCAGGTGCCAAATAATTGTTACTGTGATGGGGTTAGCTTCCCTCAGGCAAGAGTTTGATCATGGGCAAAGTTATGGTGCTAAGAGTAGTCCCTAAAGTAGTAGCTAAGGGGGTGAGGAGTCTCTGGCTTTCTGCATGATTACTCATTCTTTCTGTGTTTCTTTTTACATCTCCTTTTCTGAGCCTGCCAAACCATAATCTTTATTTCTCTAGGCTCAAGTCACTATTGTGTTGCACTTTGTGTAGTTATTCACAGCAGTTGTAGAATGGATGTAAAATGCTACCAGATTAGAGTGAGCGAGTTTTACACCTACTTTGCACTCACATTGCAATGGTGTAAATGACACACTTGGGGCAGGTCTACACTTACAACGCTGCCTCGGCACAGCTGCACTTGCTGTAATGCTTTAATGAAGACACACTATGCCGACAGGAGAGATCTTCTCCTGCCCTTGCAGTTAATCCACCTCCCTGGAAGACGCTTTCCCACCAACACAGCACTGTCTACATCAGAGTTAGGTGAGTATAACTATGTAGCTCAGGGGTATGGATTTTTCACATCCCTGAGCAACGCTGTTATACTGATGTAAGCCTATAGTGTAGACCAGACCTAGATGTTGGGCAATTGTGATTCAAGAGCCTCTGTTTCTCCTTTTCATGCCATCTTCTTTCTCTGGTAAACACTACGCAGGAAAGTTTTACTGGTTATAACAGTATAGTTATGGCTTATTCAGGTATAAGTCAGCAGTATCTCCTGTAAAAGTAAACATACTTGTTTGTCTTAGCAGTTGGCTGAACAAGAAGTAGGACTGAGTGGACTTGTAGGCTCTAAAGTTTTACATTGTTTTGTTTTTGAGTGCAGTTACGTAACCAAAAAAAATCTACATTTGTGAGTTACACTTTCATGATAAAGAAACTGCACTACAGTACTTGTATGAGGTGAATTGAAAAATACTATTTATTTTGTTTATCTTTTTTTACAGTGCAAATATTTGTAATAAAAAATAATAATATAAAGTAAGCACTGTGTACTTTGTATTCTGTGTTGTAATAGAAATCAATATAGTTGAAAATGTAGAAAAACATCCAAAAATATTTAATACATTTCAATTGGTTTTCTATTGTTTAACAGTGCTATTAATCATGATTAATTTTTTTAATTGCAGTTAATTTTTTTGAGTTAATTGCATGAGTTAACTGTGATTAATCGACAGCCGTAGTAAATACAGTTTGCTCCTGCTCTGTTTACATATTCATCATTTATGGCTGTGTCAAAGGATCAACTTTGGCTGGTGTTGGCTACAAATGACCTTAGTACTGAGTGCAGGGGTAGTGAAATATGATTACCAATGTTGTAATTATTGTAGCAATACAGGAAAGCAGGACTGTGCTTAACATGTCCCAGATGAGGGGGGACACCCTCAGTTGAAAGAATGTTGTTAAGCAGGGGCTTGAATGTCAGAGCCCTGTGAAAGTAAGAGGGGTGGGGACAGAAGTCCTGGTGCCCTGGTTAGGAGGCTGCACAACCTTCTGGGGTCCTCTCTAGACTGGCTTAACCTGTTCTTCCCAACTCTTCAAAAAATAGAGCTATGTAGGCTTTATTAGGAGCCTCTTTTGTTATTTTAATTGCTCAGTCAGAGCTGAAACCAGTTGTGTTAGAACTGTGTTTCTGCCCTGCCTGCAACAGAGCTGAAAATCCGTGAGAGACTGATGTGCAGAGGTCACAGCAGAGAGACAGAAGGTGACTGACAGCCAGCGGGGTGGCGGTGGAGAGGCATGACAAGCAGCCAGCAGGTCGGTGGTGGAGAGGCGTGATGACCAACAGGGCAGCAGTGGAGAGGCGTGACGAGCAGCCAGCAGGGCGGCAGCAGATCGGTGTGATGAGCAGCCAACAGAGCGGCAGTGGAGACGCATGACAAGCGACCAGCAGGGCGGCAGTGGAGAGGCGTGATGAGCAGCCAGCAGGGCAGCGGTGGAGAGGAGTGATGAGCAGCCAGCAGGGTGGCTGGTGGAGGGGCGCGATGAGAGCGGTGAGCAGGTGGGCAGTGAGCGGCCAGCAGAGTGAGTAAGATGCCTCTTTACCCCTCTGCCTCAGGGTGGGAGGTGAACTCTGAATTCTGGGTCTGCACTGACCAAGGACAGCAACTGTGAGTGGGGTGCAGAGAAGGGTCAGGCATGTGAAAGGGACTTTTGGGTTGCTGGACTTAAGAACCTGAGAGGAAAAGGGCACTGCCCAACCTACTTGGCAGTGGGTCTTTTACTCATGGTTTGTATTTATGAACAGTGTTTTCCCAAATTAACTCCGAGTTA